TCTGGTATTCTAATGGCTCGGGCTTTGTTTTTGTAGTATGAGATTGCTATAACTATTCGAGGTCTCCTGTGCTTCCATATGAATTTCATCACCATTTTTCCCAGATCTGAGAAGACTGTCTTTGGTATTTTTATTGGTATAACATTGAATCTGTAAATTGCTTTTGGAAGTATGGACATTTTGATGATGTTGATTCTTCCAATCCATGAACAAGGAAGATTTTTCCATTCTTTTGTATCTTCTTCTATTTCTTTCTTTACTATTTTGTAATTCTCAGCATAGAGATCTTTGACATCCTTGGTTAAATTTACTTCAAGGTATTTGATTGTTTTTGTAGCTATTGTGAATGAGATTGATCTTAGAAGTTCTTTCTCAGACACGGCATTATCTGTGTATACAAAGGCTGTTGATTTTTGTGTATTGATTTTCTATCCTGCTACTTTGCCACTCTTCTATGAGTTCCAATAGTCTCTTGGTGGAGTCTTTTGGATCCCCTAGATATAGAATCATGTCATCTTCAAACAGGGATATTTTGACTTAGGTGCATATACGTTTACAGTAGTTACATCTTCCTATTGAATTGATCCCTTAATCATTACATAGTGCCCTTCTTTGTCTCTTTTAACAGTTTTTGTGTTAAAGTGCATTTTGTCTGATATTAGAATGGCTACACCAGCTCTGTTCTGGTTTCTGTTAGTATGGAATATTTTTTCCATCCTTTCCATTTAAGTCTGCGTGCATCTTTGTTGGTGAGATGTGTTTCTTGGAGGCAGCCAATAATTGGGTTTTATTTTTAATCCATTCAGCCAATCTGTGCCTTTTAACTTGAGAGTTGGGGCCATTTACATTTGAGGTGACTAATGAGAAGTAATGACTGCCCTGCCATTTTTCCAAAAGTATCCCTATTTTTTTACTTTCAATTTCCTTTGAACTTTTAATGAGAGATTTTCTTCCTTTACGTTCTTTTGTAGTGTTGACCATGTTTCTGTGTTTTGGTGTGTAGCACATCCTTAAGCATCTTTTGTAGGGCAGGACAGGTGGTGATAAATTCTTTTAATTTATTTTTGTTATGGAAGGGCTTTATTTCACCTTCATTCATAAATGAGAGTTTTGCAGGGTACAGTATTCTGGGTTGAATGCTTTTTTCTTTTAAGACTTGGAATACATCTCACCATTCTCTCCTAGCCTGTAGGGTTTCTGATGAGAAGTCTTCTTTGAGTCTAATTGGAGATCCACTAAAAGTAATCTGGAGTTTCTCTCATGCACATTTTGGAATCTTTTCTTTAAGTTTTACTGTGGTGAGTTGAATTACAATGTGTGGTGGTGAAGATCTTTTCTGGTCATGTTTATTAGGAGTTCTATGTGCTTCCTGTACTTGAATGTCCTTTTCTTTCTCCAAATTAGGGAAGTTTTTCTATTATTATTTGACTAAAAAGGCCTTACAATCCTCATTCTCTTTCCATGCCTTCAGGAACTCCTAGAATCCGTATATTGGGTTATTTTATGATATCCTGTAGATTTCCAACAGTGGTTTTTAGTTTTCTAATTTCTTCTTCTTGTCTTTGGTTTGAGTGTATAATTCCCTGTGCTTTGTGTCTAAGTCTGATATTCTTTCTTCCGCTTCACTGATTCTGTTGTTAAGGCTCTCCACTGCATTTTTTATTTGTTCTACTGAATTCTTCATTTCATTTTGATTTCTCTTTAAGATCTCAATTTCATGGGAGAAATTTTCTTTCATGTCCTGTATAGATTTTAGTAGTTCATGCATTTGCTTCTGATTACTTCTATGTAATCTTATGATCAATTTTTTGAATTCCTTTTCTTGTATTTCTTCCATCTCATCATCTTCACAATCTAGTATTGAAGTGTTGTGTTCTTATGTGGGCATCATGTTGTCTTCTTTATTCTTGTTTCTTGAATTGATGCATTTGTTGTGCAACCTTTGTGGAGATACTCGTTGGTTTCTTTCTTTCTTTTTTTTTTTTTTTTTTTTGTGGCAGCTTTTATCATCATAGTATGACTCTACAGGTAAGTGAAATGTCTGTTTTCAGTGACGCTCTAAAGGCTTGTGATGGGTGTGGTCAGCGAGCTCTGTTCAGTTCTCCAGGGCTAAGGACATGCTAAGGTGACACACCCGGGTTTGGCATGATAAATCTTTTCTCGCTCTTCCTTTTTTTTTAATCAGGAGGGAAATTTATTCTACTAAGCTGAGCTCCTCAAAGAAGAAATCTACTCTAGGTTTGGGAGTACAGGGAGTAAGACGGTTTGAGACAAGTCATTTAACTTCCTTATTCCTCAGTCTCCATCTATGTCAAATACAAGTAGTGGTAACTTCCCTATTAATTTCTTAAGATTATTTAAAATTTGCATTGCTCTATAAATTGTGTAATGCATTACTGCAAAGTATCATGATTCTATTCATGTGGAATGAAAATTAAATTGGTTTAAAGGATTAGTTTGTTTATGTGCAAAACAGTTTGAAATTCATCCATACAAGTGGTCTTCAAAAAGCTCTTGAAAATGTACATTATGAAAAAACTATATGTTAATTTCAATTTTTTGCAATAAATTAATTTTTAGTTCCATTTTCCACAAACTTTTCTGATACTTCCTCATATAAATTGGAGAAATTGGCTTAACCCATTGTTACGTTTCATGTATTTGTCATGGAGAACTACTATAATGAGCATTATTTGGTGGAAACAGGAGTGACTTTGGAGGTCAATACTTGAGTTAAATATCCTTCCAATTGTTAGTTGTGGAACTCCTGGAAACCTTCCACATCTATGAGGTTCCAGCTGTCTTTGTCAAAATGAGAATAATGCATATTCTGTCAATCTCAGTGGAGTACTGCAGATGAGAAGCATATATGGGGAAGCCTTTGAGGAGAATGGCGTCTCAGAGGATATAAGATTCTCCTATTGTTGTCTTCATATTAAGAACATAAATGACTGAAAAGTTTGGTGACAAAATTTTTATTTAAAAAAGATAACCAGCAGCACCAAAACCTCTAAATATGATTTCATTAATTTTCCCCTTACACATGACATTTTTTCCTGACATTAGAGAGGAAAAAACTAAATATATAAAATAAAATATTATCCTCAAAAAATATGGCAACACACTCCTATTAATGTGTGTCCTAGGACCCTATAAAATTCCTTCCCTGTGGTACTTTGAACCCAAGGCAGTTCCTGCATGGGCTCAAATACTATAGGACATCTTCAATCTGCCCTTTTGCTAACTACTAGCCTTCTGCTTGGCACCATCACACCCATTGGGTGCAATTTCCTCTTATTGAGACACAGCCCCCACCAGCCACAGCTCTGGGAAATACTCTGCTGAGCACGAGTTTTCACCTGCCAATCACACACTGTCCTTCAAGTACCTTAAGGTGGGGGTAACTCGGCAGAGTACTGGGAGGTGAAAGTGGTGGGATTCAGTCTCCCACATGAGATATGACACAAAATCCAACTTCAACAAAACTCAGCCATATAGAGTTTTAATGGCATGGATCTTTCTAATTACTAAGTTCACACAAGGACACAGCCAAATAGAAGGTACCACACTAAACTCTGGATGATCTGGTCCCAGAAAATTAAAATAAAATGCATCCTTCCCAGGGCACAGCAGCATAGTTTCCTGCATAGATCCTTATTCTAGGCAAAAACCCTGACTTGGCATGGATATATGGAACAGTGGTTAAGACAGCATGTTGGGTCTTCTGCCACCATCTTGCTTTCCTTTAAGCCACCAGTGACCATGGGTTAAATCAATTTTGAGCCATTAACCAGAGCTGGGTCCTTTTGGAGATTTTGTTCCAAGTTGCTCACAAAGTGAAGGCCTTGGCTGCTCCTGCAAGGGCACCTCTGCATCCTGAGGTCCTTGAGTTCACCAACTTATAAGTAGCTTAGTGATTGCTTCTCTGGAAAACTGTGCTCCTGCATCCAGAATTGGTTGTTCATCAAAGCAGGAGTAGATACAAGAACTCCAACAACTTAGGGACCTCTCATTTGCTGCATCTTGCATCCAATTTGACTACAAAAGGAGCTTCATCTCTCAAGATAACCTATGGAATTAAAGTAGTTGGTGGTACACTAAGTTGACTGCAACAGGAGAAAAGATGGCGTGCATCATAGAATTCCTGTGGGATTATGTTGCTATTCTAATGGAGTTCCTGGTCAGTGTCACCACATCACCAGAATTTCATTGCTGGAAAGTAGCTGCACTTCAGTCTCAGCTAAGGACTGACAAAAGCTGTGGCTTTTCAGAATCCATAGATTCATGTCGTTGAAACTGCATGCTGCAGCTTACCAGAATACCTTGGCTAAATCCTTATACTGTCCTGACTACAGGGTTGGAAATGCAACATCAGAGGAGTTACATTACTATGTTCAGAATTGCATCACAAGTGCAAGAATGGTTTTGATGGAACTTTGTCGCTCCTCTGCGAGCGGAGGAGCGGCACCGGGCCAGACGCTGTTATTCCCTTGCTGTCGGTTTTTTCTACAGCAAAGCAAGCACAAGTGAAGAGAAGAACGAAGTAACGAGCTCCCCAGCGACCTCTCCACCAACCAACCACCCCCAAACTCTTCACCAGCCTGGAAACAGTAATTGTCCCAGAAAGTGCAGTTGAGTCCCCTTTTATAGTCCTCTTCCACCAATCCGTGCTCTGCTGCCCACGTGCTGAGCACGCCATTTTCTTCCAATCAGAGGTTGGGTCAGCTCCTGCAGCTCGTTAGTCAAATTGATGAAGCAGCCGAAGCCGCTGTGTAGAACTTGTTTACTCCCTCTCAGCGCCATGTTGTGGGAGCCGGGCCCTGCTTTCCACAGAACTTGGTGTGAGTCATCCTGTCCGCAAACAAGTTACTGAATGATTTCTGGATATGAGGGGTGGGCTTGGTTTGGCTGGTGCAAAGGCTGAATACAGTGGAGGTGAAATCTGAGAACAGACCGGAGATGGTCTTGTCTATGCTGCTCTTATAGCATAAAGTGCTGCAATGGGAAGTGCAGAGGCAAGTGTATTTAGTGTCCTTCAGCATGTCCTCAGTGCTGGACCCCATGTCAAGAGGGGCAGCAATGCCACTAGCTTCGTATACCAGGCGGTTGCCAAGGGAACTCACCAGCCATCTGATGCTTCTGCTTTTAATGCCAGTCACTCAGGTTCTGGACTCTTCAGGATTTACTCTATCTCCCAGGCAGCCACTGATAGAGATGCTTTCACGGCTGCCTACAAAAAAGTGAAACCAGTTGCTCAAGGAAACCTTTCCAGTGCAGATGTCCAAGCTGCCAAGAACAACCTGCAAGCTGGATGTCTCATGTTGGTAGAGTCTTTGGAGGGCTTCCTGGATGAAGTTGGGTCCCAAGCTCTTGTTGCTAGTTCTTATGTGCCACTGTCCACAGTCGTTCAGCAGAGTGACTTGGTGACTGATGCTGATATCATAAATGCTGTGAAGAAGTTTGTTTCTGGCCAGAAGTTGATGGCAGCAAGTGGAAATCTGGGTCATATACCTTTTGTTGATGAGTTATCATATGGAAGCATGTATTACAGGACAAAGCTGAACATTTTCTCAGCCCATGACAGAAAACACATCAAAGTTAAAAGTCTCTAACAAAACATTTGTCTTTTTTTGCATGAATGCAGGTAATTATTCTCAGCTGGCTTAAAGTCAATAAAACATCCTATTTAAATTTTTTTGAAGGAGCTATCGAAGAAGGCTATACTTTTCTCTGAAGGGAGGAGAGAACTTCCACTTTGCTATGGCTGTGTCCAAATACTGATGGAGTCTGTGGTCACAAAAGGCTTCCATAGCCTTGGCAGCCCATGACAAGAGCCTCAGGTGATCACTGACATCATAAATAAATAAGAGTGTTACTTGTTAAAGAAACAACAGAAGCCACTGTGCACTCATTCCCCATGTAGGACCTCTGTCCTTAATGAGTTATAACATGAGAATTAACTGCAAAACTTGTTCTCAAACTGTACTCTCTATATGGTGTGTGTGTGTGTGTGTGTGTGTGTAGGTGGGTGGGTGCAAACTGTTGAAATCTGTACTTAACATAACGTTGGTCCTCTGTATATAAAATTAAACTAAAAATGAACCATAATGAAGAAGGGGATGGGAGAGGGAATAGGAGATGGGGAGTCGGGGTGGGAGAGTCTGTATGGGGGAAAGAACCACTATATCCCTAAATTTGTACCTATGAAAAAATGCATTCATTAAATAAAAGCTTTTTAAAAAATTTTAAAATTAAAAAAAATATCACTTTGGATGCCCACACCCCATATCAGAGTCTCTGTGCTCAAGTATGCATGGCCCCTGGTCCAGATTCCTCTTAATGTACACCCTTATGGCAGAAAATGATTGTTTATGTTCTTAGGTCCATGCAACCCACATAGGAGACCTAGATTCTGTTCTGGCTCCTGGCTTTGGCCTGGTCCAGCCTTGGCTGTTGCAGGCATTTGGGGAGTAAACCAGGGGATGGAAGACACACATTCTCTCTCTCTCTCTCTCTCTCTCTCTCTCTCTCTTTCAAATAAATAATTAATTTTTTTAGAAAACTGACTTGTTAAAGAGGCCAGGGATAAATTAATAAATACTTTTTTTTGAAAAACTGACTGGTCAAAGAGGCCAGATCCAGACAGCCTAAGAGAAACCAGCTCCAAGATTCAAGTTCCTCTTTGTGTCTTAGACTTCATTCCACCTCCCTTCCTCTTCAAAGCAAAGTCTTGCATTTTCCTCTACATTTTACATGCCTTGGAAAGATAGAACTAAATCTCCACCTGTTCAAATAAACAAAACATGACAGACGACCAAAAGTGTGAAAGCCAAAACCATGTGAAAAACTGCCTCAAAATACGAGCAGCCCATTTGGAGGGAAAATATGTGGGTTGCTAGTGGGAGTTTCTCACTCTTCAGTTTTTTTACATAGGCTTTCGCAAAGGGGAAAATGTTAAGAGGAGGTGAAGTGTAAAGAATTAGCTAAGATTTCTTTAAAACTTTTTAAACGTCAGATTGCTATTAATCTATGGAAATATCACTTGCAAATATTAAAAAACCCCTCCAAAATAACCTACAAGTCCATCTCATCGGAAAACATGATATGCAAGAGCAAATCCGTCACACATAGGGAAAGATGAATGACATCTGTGGTCAGAAGCGTGACAAGGATGAAAATGATGAAGAGGTTCATCAGGAGGAAGCGAGATGTTTGGATTCTTGTTTTTCATTTTCTATGATTACAAAGCAGTAATAACCAAGTTATTATAAAATCTTGCTATTATGATATTTAATGATTAACGTAAAACCAAAAGGAATTAGTTTAACATCTATCAAATTCTTAAGTGGTATTTTTAATTGAGGTTATTTGTTCATTAGTCCAGATTTGTGAATAGCGCACTTATTCACCAGAGGGGAAATTGAACTCAAATAGTTCAGAACTGAATGCAAAACCCACTGTACTTCTTCAACCCATTCCCATGAGTTTTAAGATGTAATTTGCAGGATTCAAAGCTGCTCTTGGTTCATTCGTCAGGAATTATGGAATAGAACCCCACTTTTGCCTGGTTGGCTTTCTGAAATGGATCCATAATTGAGACTGACAGCCTGTGTGCTATGCTGCTAAAGGTGACATTTTTAGATAAGAACAAAACATCCCAGAGGAATATCTTTGCCAAGACTGTTTCTTCAATCAAGAAGTAAGTCAACAGTTTCTGGGGTATAAGGGTGGAGTAAAGCCAGTTCATACACCAATAGATAAGTTGAACAAAGAACAGGAGAAGCCTAAACTAGTTTGAATGTTATTTTTCTCTGCATCACCTTCCAGGCTGAGTTGCTATGGTGTGTAAGTTAGGCATCAGAGCTGTTCCTATGCAAGACAAGAGAAGTAGGTTTTCGTGTACACACACCTGTCAGTCATTGGTTAAGCAATGGCGAGAATAGGGTGCCTCTGAATCTCCATTGATGAAGACAAAGGGAGCGAAACGAGCCCTCCAAACACAGCTGAAGATGTGAAAGCTCACAAGCGCCTCTCTTCAGAGAACTCCAACACAAACTGCAAAAAGAAATCCGAGGCAGGCTGGAGTGTGTGTGTGCCAGGGTGGGGGGCGGGGTATTGGGCCTGGTAGTTAAGATACCTGCTGCAGTGCTTGTTTTTTTTTTTTTTTTAATTGAAGAGTTTCTTTTTATTTATTTATTTATTTATTTTGACAGGCAGAGTGGACAGTGAGAGAGAGAGACAGAGAAAGGTCTTCCTTTGCCGTTGGTTCACCCTCCAATGGCCGCCGCGGCAGGCGCGCTGCAGCCGGCGCACCGCGCTGATCCAATGGCAGGAGCCAGGTGCTTCTCCTGGTCTCCCATGGGGTGCAGGGCCCAAGCACTTGGGCCATCCTCCACTGCACTCCCGGGCCACAGCAGAGAGCTGGCCTGCAAGAGGGGCAACCGGGACAGAACCCGGCGCCCCGACCGGGACTAGAACCCGGTGTGCCGGCGCCGCAGGCGGAGGATTAGCCTAGTGAGCAGCGGCACTGGCCAGTGCTTGGGTTTAATACCTGGCTTCAGCACCTGACTCTAGCTTCCTGCTAATGCAGACCGGGCAAGGCACTGGTGATGGCCCAACTACCTGGAGCCCTGCCACTTTTGTGGGAGACCTGGCTTGAGTTCTCAGCTCCTGACTTTCACCTGGCCCAGCCCAGGCCATTGCAGGGATTTGGGAGTGAATCCATGGATAGGAAACTTCTGTCTTTCTCTCTCCCTCCCTCTCTCTCTCTCCATCTTTGTCTCTCACTCTATGCCTCTAAAATGAATAAATATAAACATGCTTAAAGGAATCAAAGGATCTAGGAGAAGCACTGACATCATCTGCTACAAACTTAACCTTAAAATATGTTAGAATTTAAATGTCTCAATAATGAGAAAACAAATGTCACCTTTAGCAGGGCAGCACGCAGGCTGTGAATCTCAGCTTGGATCCATTTCAGAAAACCAACCAGGCAAAAGTGGGATTCTATTCCATAATTCCTGACGAATGAACCAAAAGTAGCTTTGAATGCTACAAATTACATCTCAAAACACATGACCACTGATGTCATAAATAAGAGTATCAACTGTTAAATCAACAACAGAAGTCACTGTGTATTTTCTCCCCATGTAAGACATCTGTCCTTAATGTGTTGTACTATGAGAATTAATGATAAAGCTAGTCTTCAAACAGTACTTTATACTTTGTATGTCTGTATGGGTACAAACTGTTGAAATATTTACTTAGTATATACTAAGTTGATCTTCTGTATGTAAAGACAATTGAAAATGAATCTTAATGAAGAATGGGATGAGAGAGGGAGTAGGAGGTGGGGTAGTTTAGGGGCGGGAGGGCGTGTATGGAGGGAAACACTGTTATAATCCAAAAGTTGTCTTATGAAATTTATATTTATTAAATAAAAGCCTCCTATAAAAAATGACAGGGGTTGGGGGGGGCGGAAGAAGGTGTAGCTGGGACCCAAACCAGCACCTAGGTGGGATGCTGGCACTGCAGGCAGCAGCTTTACCCGCTACGCCACAGTGCCAGCCCCTAAATAAATAAATCTTAAAAAAAAAAAAAAACACATGGGAATGGGTTGAAAAAGTACATTGAGTTTTATATTCAGTTCTTAACTATGTGAGTTCAATTTCCCCTCTGGTGAATAATTACAGTACTCACAAATCTGGACTAATATCAGAACTAATAACATCAATTAAAAATACTGCACCCACATGGGAGACCAGGAGAAGCACCTGGCTCCTGGCTTCGGATCAGCACGGTGCGCTGGCCGCAGCGCACTGGCTGCAGCAGCCATTGGGGGGGTGGTGAACCAATGGAAAAAGGAAGACCTTTCTCTCTGTCTCTGTCTCTCTCTCTCACTGTCCACTCTGCCTGTCAAAAAAAAAAAAAAACACATAAGGAAATAATTCATAAGACACTCTTGAATTTAAAAATATATAAATATTATTCTATTTGAAAGGCAGAGACAGGCAGGCAAATGAAGATCTCCCATTCACTGGTTCATTCCCTTTTTTCTTCCTTTTTTTTAAAGTATTTATTTATTTATTTGGGAGTCAAAGTTACACAGAGAGAGAGAGATCTTCCATCTGCTGGTTCATTCCCCAACTGGCCACAATGGCCAGAGCTGTGCAGATCCAAAGCCAGGAGCCAGGAGCTTCCACCGAGTCTCCCACATGAGTGCAGGGGCCCAAGGACTTGGGCCATCTTCCACTGCTTTCCCAGGCCATAGCAGAGAGCTGGGTTGGAAGTGGAGCAGCCAGCACGGGAACTGGTGCTCATATGGGATGCCAGCACTGCAGGCTGTGGCTTTATCCACTACACTACAGCGCTAGCCCCAACTGGTTCATTTCCTAAATGTCTGCGAGGACTAGAGCTCTCCAGATCAAAGCCAGAACCTGGGAACTTAATCCAAATTTTCAATGTGGGTAGCAGGGATTCAACTAATTGAACTACCACCTGCTGCTTCCCACAGTGCACAGTATAGGGAAGCTGGTATGGGGGATGAGACTATATTCAAACCTAGACACTCCAGTATGGATATGGTGTTCCAGGCAACATCTTAACAAGCATG